CCATTGTTGTGCCCTCTGTCACAATGTGGCACAGTAAAGGGGTCTTTTGCTAGAGACAGTGCTATGTTGTTTGTTGTTTGTATTGTATCTAGCCTCCACAAAAAAAGAAAGAAAGAAAGAAAAGCAATCTCCAATCTTCTCTCTCTTCTCCTACCCAAAAAGCAATCACCTTAACAGGTGCTTATAATTTTTTATGAAGAAATTTATATACATATTTTTGCATGTGTGTATACCTATGTGTATGCATGATCATATCTTAATTAAGTTATACATAATGGCTTAATCTATAATACTATGTTCTTTCTGTTTTTCACTTTTTACTTTCTTAGAGATTTTCTCACATTAGTACATTTAATAGTTGTGCTGTATTTCACTCTATGAATATGTAATTATTTGAGATGTTTCCAGTTTTTATATTTTGAAAACATTTTCAAGTATGTTTTTAGGATAAATTCTTAGGAGTGAAATTTCTGCATATATATATTATATATATATATATATATATATATATATATATATATATATATATATATTTTTTTTTTTTTTTTTTGGTGGGGTGGATAGGAGTTTACAAGTTGTCCTTCAAGAAATTGCATTTTGTACTCTTCCACAATTTATGAACAAGCATTTTTTTCCAAACGTCACTAACCCTCAAAATTCCCAGATTTCATGGGTGGAAAATTATAATTTTTAAAAGCCCACATATCCTAGAAGATACTTAACTAAATGTATAGTTTATTTATTCTCTTTTATGGTTAATGTTATCAAACTCTGTTTTTTTGGGAATGACTTTCAGAACAACTTGATATACTATCCATCCCAAATCACTTTGCTACTTTATATATATACTTTATTTTGGATCCCAAATGATGTTCTTCATCTTGAAAAGTGACATTGAGGATTTGCATGGAACTCTAGCTCCTCATTTCAGTAACAGCCATCAGCAACTCCCAATAATAATAACAGTAATAAGAGTAATAAACAGTTTATTCAATGAATTATAAATAATTTCTAGAAAATTTGATGTTTGTATTGATTTGTATCATACAATCAAAACAAAATGAATGGTCTCAATTGAAGTTTCAAGTCAAGTTGTCTACCCATCCAATTTCCCCCAATTCTCTACCCTCAGCCTCTCCATAATTAAATTCAGATTATTCCAAACCATGCGTTTCATTCATAAGACTTTTGAAAAAGAGAGTATAAGATAATGCCACTTATTTATTATTTTATTCAACAGGTATGTATTGAGCACCCTCCATACCAGACACTGGGGAAGATCCTGTGGATACAGGTCATGATAAAAGGAAAGCTGGAACTTGCTTTCATGGAACTTGTTGTTATGGTTTAGATAGATTTTAGGTGTCCTCCAAAAACTTATGTGTGAGACAATGCAAGAAGATTTAGAGGTGAAATAATTGAGTCGTGAGAGCCTTGACATAATTAGTGCATTAATCCCCTGATAGGGATTAACTGAGTGGTTACTGTAGGCAGGGTGTGGCTGGAGGAGCTGGGTTGATGATGTGTGCCTTTGGGGTATATATTTTGTCCTTGTCGAGTGGAGTCTCTCTGCTTCCTTATCATCATGTCCTGAGCCACTTTCCTCCATCACACACCTCTGCCATGATGTTATGCCTCATCTCAGGCCCCAAGGAATGGAGTCAGCCATCTATGGACTGAGAGCTCTGAAACTATGAGCTGCCAAATAAATCTTTCCTCCTCTAAAATTGTTCTTGTCTGGTCTTTGGTCATAGCAGTGAAAAAGCTGACTAAAACACTTAGAGTTTGACATGAGAATAGAAATTAATCAAGCTATCACACACACATATGTGTATAAGAAGTACATATATAAGTAAACACTTAAGCAAATACTAGGAATAAATGATGACCAGTGTTTATTGAATGCGTGCTATTTGTCAGGCACTTTGATAAGTGCTTTATAGATATTGTATCATGGCCTCAACAACTCTGTGAAGTAGGTATTAAAATTATCATTGTCTTCTAGATAAGAAACTAAGACTCATGGAAAAGAAGTGAATTCCCAGATCATATAACTAACAAGTCATGGAGATAGGATTTGCTTCTAGTCAATCCAACTAATTTCAGTGGCTGTGAGGTTAACCTCTGGCTATCAGCTGCCCTCTCTCTGTATGAACGCACTTTAGAAAACTGACCTAGTCCAGAGAATTCAGGATTGCTTGAGTCAGACCATACTGTAACTTGACCTTAATCCCAATACTATGGGGAGCCATAGAATGAATGACTAAGTAGGGAACAACATAATTGGACTTGGGATTTGAAAGATCACTCTTGCTATAGCTTGGAGAATGGATCAAGAAGCAAGAGATGAATGGAAACCAGCAAAGAAGTTACTTCAGAAGCACAGGTGAGAAATGATGGCCCTTTGGGTGAGAGTTGTGATGGTGGAGATGGACAGACATTGATGAATTTGAGAAGCAGCAGGAACAAGGTCTGGTGGTGGTTTGGAAGTCGGAGGGAGGAGGAGAAGGATGACAAGAACGTTCCCTTTGCTTTGGCTTGTGGCATTGAGTACTGATGGTGACTTCCCCTGAGAGAGGAGGCAGTGACTGAGGAACAGGCTTGGCAAAGGAGAGGTAAAACTCTCAGAGAAAAGCTATGTTTGAGATCTTTTGAGATTTACAAGTGGAGATGTCACATAAACAGTTAGGTATCAATGCAAAGATGCTCTTAGATAATGTCCAGGCTGGAGATTTAAGTTGAAGCCACTTGCGTGTGTGGCTGATTTGGTGGAACTACATGAATAGGTGACTCAAGGAGGAAACACCAGGCAGGGAAGGAAGGAGCCAGCATTGTAGCTTGACATTAGTTTCATTTTGAATAAAAATTGTTTTTTCAATATGTTAATCAGTGTTATACTCTTATCTCATATGGAGAGAAAAATGTAAGAAATTATTTAAAAAAGAGTGTTTTTGTATCTTTTGGAAGCCATTCATGAAAACACTGAAGACCTAATTCATTACATTATTCAATAATGTATATATAAGGTTTTCTTGAAAATATTCTTCCACAAATCAGTACTAGCAAAATGTCCCCTCTCTCTTAAAATATGGTTAAGTTTCCTTTAATGCACAAAGAAATAATGAAACTTAAGTATATTAACCTAATATACATTAAACATATATCTAACAATTAACCTAAACATAACCAGAAATTTAGAGCTATGCTTAATACAGAAGGATTATAAATAATTAAATTTATTTCCTGCTTTGTCTGTACAGGTTTTTTTTTTCTGAGTTTATCAATATAGGTGTCTCTGACTTAATTTTAAATATAATTTAAAATTAGTAAGTATTAAAAATACTTAATTTGTAAAATGATTCATATTCTTTTTAGAATAAAAGTCATTAAGAGCTAATATGTGAAAGAAAGTGAAGTGAATAAATAAATTTTAAAAATAAGTCTGTACACTCTATTCTCAATAATTTGGATGGGATGTCAAACACAAATAGATCTGAATGTGCCTCAGCCACATGTTAGCATTGTTAACTTAATCTATACAGTGGATATGAATACCTACCAAATCGAGTGGCTTTGAAAAGTAAATGTGATAATACAGAGTACCCTGTACAATCAGCACATAGTAGGGGCTTAGCGGCTGTTGTTTTCTTGTGGCATCCCTCTCCAAACAGAAAGTTATGTTTCCATGGTGGAATGTGCTGACAGATCACATTAGATTTCTGTTCGTGTCTTTTCTTGGACTTTCCTTGGCTACACTGGTGCTTGCTGTCTTATTCGAATTTTCATTCTTGATGCCTTACATTTATTAGCATGTGGTTTATGCCTAATTCATGGTGTGGAAAGAATAAATTGGAAGAGTGAGTAAGTGGTAAACAGACCAGAAGTGCATCCAGTCCTCTCCGTCCCTCACCCTCAACCTTCTTTTTAATAACAGTCCAGTTGCTCCCAGTCCTTTGAGGCCCCTCAAATGCCACCTCCACAGGGAAGCTTGTGATAATTATAATGTGCACAGAGTGCTCACCAGCCTTCTACCCAAGTGGTTTTTGCACTATTTTTAGCAATGCAGTTTCCTAATTGAAAAATCATGCCGGGCAAGATGGCTCACACCTATAATCCCAGTGGTTCAGGAGGCTGAGACAGGAGGATGGGGAGTTCAAATCCAGCCTCAGGAATAGCAAGGCACTAAGCAACTCAGTGAGACCCTGTTTCTAAATAAAAAATACAAAAATAGGGCTGTGGATGTGGCTCAGTGGTTGAGTGCTCCCAAGTTCAATTCCTGGTACCCAAAAGAAAAAGGAAAAAAAAAAATCACATGTGATCCTAGTTTATAAGACAGAGCAAGGGACTTCCCTGTCTACCTGTCCTAATCACTCTGTGAAGGCCCTTTACCTTGTTACAGGTCTCCTCCATCTTGCTACAGGTCTTCTCTGAGGTACTCTTTAATTTGACCCAAAATTACATTCCACACATGAGCATGCTGTTTTCGCCAGTGGTCCCGTGAGTTCATAACGTACTTTCTGGTCTGCACCACAGAACTGTAAGATCCCTAGAAGCAGAAAGAGATCATACCCTTGCTTTCTATCTCTTGTGAGACCTACACAGGTGCAGAATGTAAAATAAGTCTTTAAGAACTGTTCATTATTTCTTCCTGTGGCTACTTCTCCTTCATTCTCCAGTTAATACCAAGTAAGGTAGATGGAAATCTTTCTGACTGGTGCAGTAGGCCTAGCAGAAAATCTTAATCATGAGCATTTATTAAGTTCCTATTTCTGGGTGAAGCACTGTGTACACATTGCATCATTTAGTTTTCTTCACTGTGGGTAGATACTAATATTTTAGTCTCACTGATGAACAACAGAGGCATTGAGAACTGAAGTGACTTGCCCCAGGTCCCTTTGAATTACTTCTTAAATTGGTCATGTTTGATTCCAAAACTCTGGTCCTGTCCACTACAGCAAGGGAGCTCTGTGTTCTAACTATGCTTTCTCTTCCCTTGGAAGGAGCCTTATACCCAGATGGAACATCCGGAAGGAACAAGGATGATGACATGGTTCCTCCTGGCAAAAACTATACCTATGTCTGGCCAGTGAGAGAAGAATATGCACCTACTTCTGCAGATGCTAACTGCCTGACCTGGGTGTACCATTCACACATTGATGCCCCTAAGGACATTTGCTCTGGGCTGATTGGCCCCCTACTGGTGTGTAAGGAAGGTGAGGATCCCCCAACCCCAGGAGCCTGTGCCTACCTGGTGTGTTCAAAGTGTGAACAAGATTCAGGCCTTGGTTCACTTTCTTTTCTTGTTTTACACAGAATGTGCTTCTTCTTCTGAACTTCCTTTAAGGCTTAGACAATTATTCTAACTCAGAAAATCAATCTGACACTGTAGCAAAGGGCAATACTTCAGATTCTAAGACTCATCACATTCTTGAGCATTCTGAAGCAGATGGTTTTGTTTAAAAAAAAAAAAAAAAAAAGATAGAGAGAAATGAGCTGTGTCTGCTGGCACATGCCTGGAGTCCTAGCTACTTAGGAGGCTGAGACAGGAGGATTGCAAGTTGGAGCTAGCCTGGGTGGTTCAGTGAGACCCTGTCTCAAAAAAGAAAAGAAAAGAAAATTAAAAGGGCTTGGGATGTAGCCCAATGGTAGAGCATCTCTGGGTTTAGTCCCCAGTACCAAAAAATAAAGTCTACCTTCTTGAGACATAGCCAGGTTTCTAAGACCATGACTATGAAGAGTTCTGTTGTATGATTTTTTTCTCTTCTATGTTCTGTCATTTCCACCAAAGTCTTAGGTCAATTTATATTGTGGTCTATCCTTGGGTATTTAGGTCTTTGGCAAGCTTCAGACCTACCTGATACCACTGTCAGGAAGGAAAGCTCACTTTGATTTCATTCACCTTGAACTCTTTATTCTCTTGAATGTACCCAACAGGTATTCTGAACAGGTACTCAGGGACGAGGACTGATGTGGATCGAGAGTTTGTTATAATGTTTACACTCGTGGATGAGAACCAAAGCTGGTACCTTGATGAAAATATCCAGCATTTCTGCACTAAACCCAGTTCAGTGGACAAAGATGATGCTGTTTTCCAGAGAAGCAACAAAATGCACGGTGAGTATCTTGTGTCCTCAAACACATGCCAGGGACCCTTGTGTTGCAAGGTACTACACAGGAGGCAAGATGCATGGGAATGCCAAACCTGACTTGGCAAGATGTATAACTCAGTGATGGCAGTGATATGAGACATGATATACATTGGAGCCTGCACAATTGGAGGGAAGACAGGCAATAGATATGAGCTAATTTGTGTATGAAGAATGGACAAGGCTGTGGGAGAGATAAGGGAGAATCTATGTTAAACTCAGGAAAGAATCAGTGCCTGAGGTGAGCCCAGAGGATTGACAGAAAGGAGAATAAAATCTTTACCGCATAATAATCCAGCCTCTTGCCTTGTCCATCAAGCATTTTATGAGTGGCTGCTAAATTTTAAGATCTTTCCTGTACATGGGGTTTAAGTACACACTTGCGAATTTGTTATATGTCCCAGGCATTCTTTGAAAGTACAAGATTTATCGAGCATTCGTTGTCTACCAGACTTTGTATTTGTTCAAAATAGTGAATTTCTGTAGTTATGCTGTCAGGTGAAACAGAAAAATTTCCCATGTCTCTTTTGCAGAGCAGTGGGTTAATGAATTATCTTAAGATGTTGGGAATCCAGTGATATTTTCCAGTCTTCTCCTAGAGAGTGCTAGTGAGCATAAGGGAAATCTTCAACATAAACATTTCGCTTCATTTGTTGCTAATGATCCCCATCTTCTGCTTGCCTGTCTCTCAGAATCATCTTAACAGAGGCAGCCTCAATAAAAGAAAGGGAAGGAACTGAAGATCATCGGATTCCCCCACAACAGAACATCAATGACTTGTATAAAGTCAAAATGATAATTAGTGACAGATTGTTGCCTAGGAGAACCTGAGAGAATTCTCATAGTAAATAAAGTTTAATTTGGCTATGCTTGAGTCTAAAGCTGGTTGAGACATGATCGTGGGTACTCTATTTCCATTGTACAACATACCCTTTGTGGTGTTTGGAAACCATTTTTGGATAAATGAAAGTGAGGGAGAGGAGAAAGGGGAGGGAAACAGAGAAACACTGAAGATTGAAGTTAACAAAGACCTAAATTCAAATCATTGCATGATCAGCTTTATTCCTGTTCTTTACAAAATGGGAGTGAAGGTCTCAAATGTTGCTGGAAACTACTAGGGTAACATGATGGCTTCAGACTTGGTTACTCACATAATTCTTCCATAGTGTTTATTTTTTGAAGTGAGAATGCACCCCCCTCCCCAAAAAAGAATGAATTATATAACCAGATATAGACCATATTTTAAATAAAAACCAGCCTGTGTGCAAAGAGGTGTTGGAAAACAATCAATCCTTCTTCAAGACTGGCCAAGAAGATTTGACCAAGTGTATTTAAGAAACAAAACGAAACACAAAACCTAATCCATGTAAGATGTTCAATTAATACAAGATTTATCAGTCAATTTATTTAAATGTACTAAAATGACTTAGAATTAAGTGTGCAGCCTAAGTCATTATTATCTTAGTAACAATAGCTTTTTATCTCAGTTTGAATTTAAAAAAAGAAGGGATGCAGTGACTTTTCCTAAGATCTGAATTAAGTTCTTTACTGCACTGGTCAAGTCCTGGCTAGCATTTAGATGTTTTAAAAGCATTCAGTGCTGGCCTAACGGCATAAGCTCAACTGATAAGATTCTGCCCCACTATCATCTAATAAAAGCTGCCTTTTCCTCTCTGCTTTTTAAAGTAATAAAATATAAACATCTCATACGTGTCCTCTAACCATTTCCTTTCCTGTTTATGTTAGCATGCTTTTGTCATTTAATTAATTACCATCATAGGAAAGTGGGGGAGCTAAAATGCCAAAACTCGATTCTTGTGTTCTGAAAAAAGAAAATTTAAAATCAGACACTAAAAGCCATGAAAAGGAATGCAAAGTAAAAGCAAAGTGAGGCTTAAGCAGAGAGCAATCTCAAGGGAGAATCTCTCAGCAGAGACAAAGGAGACAATGCTGTCTCCAAATCTATTACTGTTTGATGTTTACCAGAAGAACTGGGGACAACTTTCTGTACTCTTTGCCAATCAGGTGTTTAACTCCTCCTTCGTGTTGGGCAGTGGAGTTTTTGACATTAGTTGGTCCTCTCTGGAACCCTCATGGTAGCCATCCTATTTAGGGGGGCTGTTGTCTACAAGTCAATCCCATGTTAATGTGGGCACTGGGCTCAAAAGCTGATCAGAAGTTACTTTAGTGCACCTGCATTACTAAAAGACTCTTCCTTCCCAGACAGATGGAGACACCCATTGCCACAATTCCTAGCTTCACACCAATCTCAATGGACCCCGTCAAGAGTTAATCCCATTAATTCTTTTCTTTTGATGTATTTTTCCTATTAGCTCCTTGATTCTGTTTTCTATAAAATAAACAAGCACCCTTTGCTTTCTCAGCCGCTTTGAAAGTAGCTCAGAGAAGATCCTAAAGTGATTTAAAGCACACTTGTGACCTTGCTGTGCATTTCACTGTTCATTGCTAGCTATACCTAACAACACTATGTGCCAGCATTTCCTGCTTGGTTGCATAAGCCGTAAGATGAGCAAGACAGGTTTCTTGTTCCAAGGAACATAGAGTCCAGTGTGGATGTCAGAGTAATGGAGAACCAGGCTAGATGGTGACTGGGCCATCCAGGAAGTGTGAGCAGTGCTGGCTTTATGCTTGACCACATGACTACTCAAACAGAAGCTCCAAGGCTATTTTTAATGTATGCTGATTTTCATCTTATGAGGTACTTTTCTCTCAAAAAAAAGACCAATACAAAGATTTTCATTCCTTTCTAAGGCATTTTTTTTTTTTAAGATCCAGAATTTCTGCATGAAAACATTAGAAATGATCTGCACTGATTTCCCAGCTGTGCTAGAGTACATATTACCAACATCTCTGGTCCTGCTTGCCTCTGCAGGGGAGTCTCTTCCACTAGTGTGTTTCTGTTTTCAGCCCTCAATGGATACCTCTTTGGAAACTTCCCCGAGCCAGAAATGTGTGTTGGTGAATCCGTGTCCTGGCACCTATTTGGAATGGGGAATGAAATAGATATCCATTCTATCTACTTTTATGGAAACACCTTCATCAGCAGAGGGCATCGGACTGATACTGTCAACCTGTTCCCAGCCACCTTCCTTACAACAGAAATGATAGTCAAGAACCCTGGGAAATGGATGATAACCTGCCAAGTCAGCGATCACCTACAAGGTAACAGGGATGGAGACCTGTGAGAAGATGCTTAGAATGGTGCAGTGGAACCACACAGCCACTGGTGCCTGTCTAGGGCTTGCTGTTATGTAGGTTCCTATAGGTATTGTATCTACTTAAACATCAAACATAGGAAAATACAGTGTGTGTTGAGTTGGCATTTATGTCAACAGATATTTATTAATCACCTCCCTAAAAACAGGATGAAGGTGATGATAGAAAAAATGGTCAGACCTTCAAGGAACCTGCTAGTAGTTAGACATGGTTGGATATTTATTAAAGGAGCAAAATGTGAAGCAGAATGAGAGAACACTCTTTGGGTGCTATAGTCACTATTTTGGAGCAATTGCAGGACTTCTGAAGAGACAAGCCTTGAAATGTGGGTAGGAACTGAGTAGATGAGCAAGAAAAGAAAACTTTTCCAGTATAAGAAACATGAACTGAGAAAAGCACATGTTCTCTTTCAGCGACAGTGAATAGAATAATGATTTTTTTTTCAGCCCCGGAAAGTCCTTTCTAGATAATCAGGACTAATTCCCCATCCAATTCTTGAATTTCCTTTAGAACAGTTCTTTTAAGTAATTATATCAGTTCATCTCATCTCCAGGCAACTTTATAAGCACATTCTTCCTAAACAGAGACATTGACACACAATGTTCTCCATGGCCCACCATAGGTGGATGAAAAACATTTGTTGATTAAATGCCTGTTGAAAGACTTGGTCCTGGTTCATTGGGACAACATAGAAGAGGTCCTTAGTTAGCTGGACCATGAGGTCCACACTAGATAGAGAACCATAGTGAGAAGGCTTGGGAGGCAGATTGGGCCCTGGTGGGAAGGGCACTGAATGGTCAGGTGAAGGAGGTGGCACTGTGTCTGGAAAGGCAATTGTGATCCTCCTGGATTCAGGCACACTAGGCAACATACTGTGATCATTGCAGCAGTTTGGGAAGGTTAATATGATGTATGTGTGCAGAAAGGATTCTATGTGCAAATTTAGGCCACTAAAAGCTAATTAAGAAGCACCAACAGCATTAGAATTTTGACACAAAGGGTCTGGCCTAAGATAGCAAAAATAGGAAGAGAAAAACGTGTTAGCTCAGAAATAACGTCTGATTAAATTTAGATACTACTGAGTACACACAGTCACTTAGGTACAGAAATCCAACTGTTCAAGGCTGCTTTGATAGCACATTCTTTTTCCTGTTAACTGAATGCAACTAATCTTAGCATTAGTCAGCTGGGTTATTCCAGTGAAATTCAACTCAAGAGGTGATCAGTAGGTGTGTACCAGACACTGGTCTGGGAAGACAAGGATGAATAGGACAAGGTTTCTATCCTGAAAGGATTTCATGCTGCTAAATCTTGGAAGGAACTCTCTGACCTAGGAATTCCAAATCTAGATATAACATCAAGAAAATAGGGAATGTTTGAGACTAGTGAGATTGCTAAATTTGACCAGTAGTTGTGGACATAAGCTGGTATTTGTGATATAGAATATTTCCTAAAATGTCCATTCCTTCAGAAAATAATTGTAAAAAATTAGAAAATAAACCAGGTGCAGTGTTGCATACCTGTAATCCCAGAGGCTTTGGAGGCTGAGGCAGGAGGATCACAAGTTCAAAGCCAGCCTCAGCAAAAGTGAAGCATTAAGCAACTCAGTGAGACCCTGTCTCTAAATAAAATACAAAATAGGGCTGGGGATGTGGCTCAGTGGCTGACTGCCCCTGGGTTCAATACCTAGTACTTTCCCCCCCAAAATTAGAAAATAAATACCACTCAATTTTAAAAATCAGTAATCATACCCAGCAATATTGATAAATTTGTCCCCTCACTATTTTCTGTACCCTTATATATAAATACACAGATCATTTAGAAAATAAAATTAGTCTGCTAATTATCTGTTAGTACTGCTTTATAACTTAATTTTCCCACTTACTAATGTATCATAACAATATTTCCATGTCAGTTAATACAGAGCTACTTCATAATTGCTATAACTTCCAGTGTCCATAATGAGGTGATTGCAATGTACTTAACCATCACTTTATTGCTCAACACTTGTACTTTTCTTCATCGTTTTTGCTATTATAAACAATTTGCATGTATGTTTGCAATTTTGTCTAAATATTTCTTTAGGAAAACATCCAGATTTGGAATTCCTGCCTCAGAATTTGATTTTTTTCAAAAAAGCTATACTTCTGAATTCCCTTTTAAAAATTGTTAATGTTCCACCCAGAGTGTTAGCAGATCTCGCCTCTACTCATTTGAATTATTAGAATTATTAGTCTTTTTAATCTTTACCATGAACAATGGTGATGTTTGATTGCTATTAAGGTTAAATTATTTTTTAATTAGTTTATTGCTGATATTATTTCTTTAATGAATAATCCATTTAAGCCCTTTGCTTACTTTCTATTAGAGATTTACTTTTTTCTTCTTTATTTTAAAAATGTTTTATATATAATCTTTTATCATATACATTACAGATATTTTCCTCCTTATCATTTACCCTTTGTTTTAAACTTTGTTTATAGTCCAATTTTCTCTATAAAACTTTTAATGTTCCTGAAGTCAAATCTATCAGTCTCTTACTGTATGATTTCATCTGTACCTTAGCTGTGGTTTCCCTCTGTTCTGCAGCTGGTATGCTGGGACAATACAACGTTGGTAACTGCAAAAGTGGTGTTTCTCACCCCAAGATGAAGGGTCAGCAGAGGCGCTACTTTATAGCAGCAGAAAAAGTTCTTTGGGATTATGGTCCTCTAGGATATGACAAATTCAGTGGTCTCCAGCTAAATGACTCTGAAAGGTAAGCACTCTTTACTGGTGTTTCTAAGCTCCTCTCCCTAGAGGCATGTGCTAGGTTCTCCCTGTGATCTCATTTGTATTCCAAGTGCTGCTCTGATGACAAACAGCAGAGATGGCATAATGTCACTGCTGAGAGTGGGTGGAAGATTTGGTGCTTTATGAAAGGTTGGCTAACTTAGAGCATGAGATTCTTTCATCAAACATTTCTTGAGTAGCTCCCATGCACAAATTACAGTGCTACATACCACAAAACCGACAGAATGAATAAAGCCTTTCCACAGATGAAGCAGGCCAGTCCTGAAGAGGGAATAATACAGGACTTTTTTCAATGGAGAAGAGCTCCTCTCTTCCTGCTTTCTTTTTCCTTTTTTTTAAGGTGAGCTCTTTACTTTAGGGTGACCTACCATAAGTTATGCCCCCTCCGTAGGCTATAAATGCCCTTTTCCTCCCTGTGCAGTAAAATGCCATTTTTCCTGAAAGCCTGACTCTAATGTTGCCTCTTAAGTGAAGCCTCCCCTGACTTCTAAGTCATAATTAATTGTTCTCTAGGCGCTCATAGCAATACTATTTTTCAAATTGGATCTGGAAATTCATTAAGTTGATGTGGACTCTGTGACTTACAGAATCATGTGCAATGATGTCTGTGAAAGCACTAAAAATGTGCGATGTGATATTAAGAATGATTGCTATTACCCTATGATATATTTTCCCATTTAAGGGAATATTTAAGAAATTTGCTTTGTGATCAATGAGAAAACACCCTGTGTTTTTAAACTGCATATTTCATTCATTCATACATATGTACATACATTCTTCTGTCAAACTGAAGCACTTGAACCTTCCCTAAAGAATTTATGGGAACCATATTGACTGAATATAATCTAATCTCTCATATTTTAAAAAGTATGCCAGGATTCTGGAAGGGTGCTAAAACACAATTTTAATGCTAATTTTCATTATTCTGTTTGGAAAAATACTGGCAAATAGAGAATGTTAATATTAAAGAGTTTTTCATATATGGTTCCCATGTATATTTAACATGATAGTTGAAAGCTCAATGTACTAAATGGTGTGCAGGATGCAAAGATGTCTAAGACAGTGTTCTCACTTTATGTGGAGGAAGTAGCTGTGTACACAGGGCAAGAAAAGTAACTTTGCAAATTACAAATAAGAGTAAGTGAGTTCTCTGGGTGTTCAGAAAGAGAACATTTCACAGAGGAAGTGGGATTTAAACGGAATCTTCAAGAGTGACAGAATTAAGTGAATAGTGAAGAGGGGAATTTTAGCTGCAAAGGTAAGGGCAAAGCACCCACTGTACAGGAGAGAGTAAATACATCGGAATAACAAGTGGATAGGGGAATGAGCATTTGCCTAGTGCATTAGGGAGAAAATTGGAATAAGCTGAATGTAAATTGCAGAGGTCCTTTAATACTTTTGAACATTATTTGGTTGGCAACTGACAGTAGTTGAAGATTTGGGGGCAGGTATATGACATTGAAAATTATCATTTTGGAAATTAATGTTGCAGGAGTGTGCACCCTGAGAAAAAAAAAATGAATGAGCCAGTGTAAGATAGAGGATGCAGAGTGTGCAGTTAGGAGGTTCACATCACGTTCCAACCCCAAGATGATGAGGGCATGAACTGGGAAAAAAAGGCAAAAAGAAGGTGCAAAAAAAGTGTTGAAAAGAGAGGCTATAACATTTTTACAAAATAAGAATGCATGAGATAAGGGGATGAGGCATAAAAAAGAGAAAATAAAAGCAATTTATATGACTGTAAGAATGATACTACCATTGATGGAAATAAAATAGCAGAGATGTAGTATTAGTCAGAGGTTATGTTATTATATTTCACAACTTCAAAATGTCTTATTTTATGTGTATAGTTTCTAAAATAATCCTCCATTAATTAAGTAATTGGATTAATTAGACATCCCATTCCTTAATCACGCCAGATATCAAAGAGCTTACAATATGCAGAGACTATTCATATTGACATCAGCAAGAGGTGGAGGAATGCTTACTCTGCAGAGATCCCAGTTAGCTCTTAATTACTTTGTAGGAAATCATTTCGGGACTCCAATATTGGTAAGGAGTTTACCTGTGACTTCGTTTATTGCTGGACCTCTGGGGAAGAAAGGGTAATGACTAAGAGAAAAATGAGCATGAGCACCATGCAGGCTGGTCAGCTCTTCCTAGGAATTTTGTTGTAACTTGTGCCATTTTTTTTTTCTGGGGAGACAGGTGGGTGAGTGGGATGGATAACAACGTGAAGCTCCATAATTAAGGACTTTGGTGGATGTGTTGAGAACCTCAGCTATTTTCGTGTGTCTTTCCACAGTAATTCTGCAACCTACTTCACACAAGGGGAAAACAGAATAGGAGGAAAATATTGGAAGGCTCAATATATAGAATATGCTGATGCAACTTTTACTCAGAGAAAGAGACCTTCTGGGACAGAAGCCCATCTTGGAATTCTTGGTACAGTAAAACCATCCTTTTGACTGGTTTTGAAGTGGGAGATGTTCCACTGGGAGTATACACCCACACAGAATGACCCTCCTGCTCCTATTCACTTCTTTCTATCCCTTCTCCTCCTCTTCTCTTTCTTCCTCTTGATATTTCCCAGGTCCAGTCATCAAAGCAGAGGTGGGTGATACCCTGCTCGTGACCTTTGCTAACAAAGCTGACAAAGTCTACAGCATTTTGCCCCATGGGGTGCTCTACGACAAAGCATCTGATGCAGGCCCAAATGTAGATGGTAAGTCTCAGCCTGGACTTAGGAAATAAACAGAATGAGTGAGCAAAGGATCAGGAGCTAGGCAGACCTGGTCCAGATCCTTCTCCCTTCCCTTACCAATCCTGAGAGTGTGGACAATTATTGAAACTTTCTGAACTGTATTCTTCTCATCTATCAAATGCAGATAATAACACCTCACCTCATAGGGATTTGGAAAGGAATGAAGGGAACAGAGCACAGGTATAGCCCACCTTAGGTTCTTAGGAAAAGTTACATTCTTTCCTTTCCTGTCAATAATGCAGTAATCCAAAGTGAGCTATTTTCACAATCACTTTCCCTTCTCTATGATGGAGAGTGTTCCTGCTACCTGTTGCATGGGATTCTGCTGGCAAAAGCTGAGGGGAAAGTCTGATTTCCATTGTTTTGTTAACATCAAAATCTTAGAGCTTTGCTCTACCAGCAAACCTTTATTTCAAATCAGCATGGTATGTTGACCATCCCACATGGCCTCCCTCCATTAGAAGGAAGGCAACACAGGTCCTCTGCACGTACAAGGGGCAGCTTTTTTCCTTTGTCTTCAGGAACTGTTCTTGCATTCATGGTGCTACTTCTGGGAATCTCCTGGTTTCTCCATAGCTGTCCCCATCACTGCACCAGACATCACGGCTGCCTGGGATATTTCCTCATGCCTGAGTGTGAGGCCAGGCCCAGTGGAGAGCAGACTTTGTGGTGATGGAGAAGGGATGGAGAAGGAAGGAATGAAGGGAGAAGTCCCTCTTCCAGGCCCATCCTCACCCTCTCCTGCCTCAGCAGTATCTCCTGCACCTGTACTCTCTTCTTTGGTCAAAATGTTCAGAATGACTTTTTGTGTATGGATACAGATGGAACAGCAGGGACAATAAAAATGGTTTTATTTTCCATTTTTTAACTCAGCAAATGTGTTGGACACGTATTTGAACAGCACAGGCCAAGATGAAAAATGAGTCTGTGGCCTTGTCTAGCAGAAGAGATTTGCTGTGTTCTTTGGCAATAGGATGTGAGAGTCAAATGCACAGGCTTTGGAATCAGACAGACCTTAGTATGAATCCTGGAATTGCCATTTATTAACTTAGACTTGGACATTCACATACTTTCTCTATCTTGTAGTTATCTGGGTTATTTCCTAGTTCAATCTCCCAGGTTTCAAACTCTTTGAATGTAGTTCTCTTTCTTAACTTTCTTTGGGTATCTTCTATCATACCAAGTATATTTTACATAGAAGACACTCAAGATATTTTATGGATTTGCATTTAATTGTTGAATAGCCTATTATCACTCTTTCAATATTTGCTAAACTGGTATTTGAGTACAAAATAGAATAAAGTCTACAAAGATAATTCTTGGATTTAAGTTTCTGTCTTATAAAACAGCAGAGGATGACAGTGGTCTCTCCTGGTAGAGAAAACAACTGACCTACAAAATATGTCATCACCAATGAGAGATGCTCAAGGATGAAGACCCAGTCTGACACGTTTAATATTCTTGGCTGTTGCTTTGAGTAACTATTTGATTTGTATCCTCAGGATTTCTGAAACCAGGGGCACATGTTAAGCCAGGTGAAACCTTCACATACAGGTGGACGGTGCCTGAAAGCGTAAGCCCAACAGTTGATGACCCCCCCTGCCTGACCTATGTATACTTCTCAGCAGTTGACGCAATCAAGGACACCAGTTCTGGCCTTGTAGGGCCTTTGCTAGTCTGTAAAAAGGGTGTTCTCAATGTTGATGGGACACAGGTAGGCCATCAAATGTCACCAGGCTTTCAGAGTTGTATAAGGGAAGGATCAGTGATATGGCCAGAGATTAGATAAGTGATACAGGGTCAGTTGCAAAAACAATTTATTTTGAAATTCATGTCTACATAATGAGGGTTATTTTATTTTTTTGTAAATTTAATTTTTAAATATCCAAAGTTACCAGTACCCACCCAGAAAGTTAATAGTTGTTGTAGTTGGAATTCTGTGGAACTCACACTCTCTGTCTTGCTTCAATTCTGGAATCTTCAGAGATCTACATGTAATGCAGCTGAGATCCTTCTTGGTGGACAAGGTTTCCCACACTGGCCATCTCCTGTGATCTTTTGAGCATTCAGTGTGCAAGCAACATTGAAAACACTGTAATTACCTGCTGGAAACTAGAAGTTACTGTCTGTGGCTGAAGGAACAAAAAAAAATTGTAGATAACTTGTTGTGAGTCTCAACTTAGAGGCTTGGATGGTCTCACTGAGTAGTGGGGGAAACCATAACACTTCAAGTTACATCTACATGCTATTAAACACATTATGAAAAGAGGAAATTCTAGTCATTTCACCATTTACTTCACCAATTACATCACCATTCACAAATTGCAAGGCATTTTATTTAAATAGTATGTTTTATAATATTGGGCATTGTGTGGAATTCCTTCTGGGATCAAAGGAATTTCTAGGTTTAGGGAACACAAAGTATCTTGCTCTATCTAAGATTTTTATTTCCCTGAATGAAGGAATGATCCTGGAAATGTCTATTGCATATATAATAAACAGAGTCTTTGTATTGTACCTCAACAAGAATATGAGGTAAAGCAGAATGATTATTCACATTATAAAGCTGAACAACCTGAGGCTCAGAGACATTGAGTAATAGTCCAGGAAATACACCTAGAAAGTAGTGAAAGTTGGCAGAATTCAGGACTTTGAGCATATAGTTGTCCTTTTCCCAGGACATCAACTTGCTTCCTACCAGTTAAATACTTGAGTCAATGAGATTAAGTGCCAGAAAATATTTGTAAGATAATTCTGATTTTTTTTCCCTGTTGTATACATTCAATGGTAACTTCAAGGTTTGCTAGAAGTATCTTACAGTTTGTGGAAGTTGTTGCCCAAGTCAAATACTACTTCTGATGAGACCACTTACACAAGATTCATGGGAAAAAAGTAATCTGAAGCACTTTATACCTAGAATTTGGTTGAGAGAGAAATCCATTTGGCCAGATAGAAAGTTATGTTTCAATGCAAGAAATACTTAAGAAACATAGCCAGATGTGGTAAAACAGCTTAAAACATAACTTCAGCAACTTGGGAGGCTGGAGCAGCAGGACCACAAGTTTTAGGCCAACCTCAGCAATATGAAAAGGCCCTAAGCAACCTAGCAAGACCCTGTCTCAAAATAAAAAGTAAAGAGGACTGGGGATGTAGCTCTGAGTTCAATCCCCAGAACCAAAACAAAACAAATGAAAAAGACCTACTATGTGTCAGTTTCTCTAGGCAAGTGGAAAGATGAACATGGAAAGAGATGTTTGCATCTCCGTGCATCTCTATTCTAAGGATGTCATAGCATAAGGCCAGGTGCTATAAGACCATATTTTAATAATCATAAAAATAATCCTGACAAATGGAGGCACAGTGAAGAAAGGTTTCTGAGCAGGGACATAGTTTCTTGCAAGAAGTCACATGGAGAGGGGAGAGGATAAAATGAGACAGATGATTTTCTGGGTGTCAAGTGAACTTGTTAGAGTCATGCCCAGGATCCTGTCTTACAAATTGATCTGGTGGATCTATGGTTAATGTTAATTAGCCCTACCCTACTTTGTGTGAACTTTAAAAGGGAATCAGTGCTCTGAATTCCTGCAAGCTGTACTTTTTAAGTATACATTTCTTTCTTTTCTATAGAAAGGAATAGACAAGGAATTTTACCTGCTGCTCACAGTGTTTGATGAGAATCTGAGCAGGTATCTTGATGAAAACATTCAGAAGTTTACCTGGCGTCCCTTCAGTGTTGACAAGGAAGACAAAGAGTTTGTGAAATCCAACCGAATGCATGGTATGATGAATGGTTTTCCCTCCTGTAAATGAAAGGTTTAGTTGCATTTGAAGTGAGTGTATTTGGAATGTTTTAACTATCTGAATTTTGGTCTCTTGAGTATTGCTCTTGGTCATGAAGTTAATTATTCTATGCTTTGCAAGTTATCTTTTGGAGATAATGATCCTTAATTATAACTTTTAAAACACTTTATCAGTCTTAGATCAAGAAATACAGAATTTGAATTAGCAAAGATCACAATACATCAGAAATGAAGAAAATTGCTGACAAAATTCCTTTGTGTTCACAATAACATCCAGTCTGATAACCCAAGATATAATAGGAGGTAATCTTACACAGCAACGTATCCTAATCAAATAATATAAATGACTGCTGAAAGGGCTCATTTGTAAAAGACTAGCAGTTCCTATCCAAGATCTTCATTTGGGAGGAATGACCTAATTCTCTCTCCCTGTCTCTCTTTATGCCAAGTGTTATAATAGCAAACCACCTGGTAATTGGTTAGGACCAACAAGATTCTCATTAGTCTTGAGCATATTACCTAAGGTGGCAGAGTAATAAGCTAGGGTCCAAACTCAGTGCCTCCAAGAGTGTGCAGCTGACCAAGTGCTAAAGTAAGTGCTGTAAGAGATGTAAGAGATGCTGAATTGTTCATTTAAGACCAAGCATAATATCTAGGCTATAACATGGCCTTTGAAAATATTATGGAAGAATTTAAAAATAGCCCTGAGCCTCCCTCCCAGCTGAGGAATCCCCAAAAGTCAGGTTAACAAGTGACCCACAGCAACCAGGTCCTAGACTCCCAGGGTCCCTGATGTTCAGTTCCAATAGAGTCCCCTCTTGGACCAATGAAAAGCATGGACCAATACATTTTCAAGACCATCTCTGAAAACTTTTGCTACAATTAAATATGAATTCTTTCTGAACTTCTTAGTAATATAAAAAAAGGAAACTAAACTGAAAATAAGGAAACATAGTAATTCCTAATGGAGAATTCAAATTATAAAATGAATTTATCATCAGAAGGTGATTATATAGAAAATATAAAACAACTGAATGGACCATGTTGAATTCAGCTCCAATCTGGTTTGATAATACAAAACTCATTTTCATATTTTGGAAATGCAGGACATGTTATTCTTAAAGCAAAGTCCAAGAAAATAATATATCTCAATATGATCAACTATAAACCAATGTCTAGTTCCAATCTTGCTTGACTGCAGTGGGAGGAATAAAGCAACAAAATCAACATGTCCCTCATATGGAACAATGCTTTGAGTTGCATCTATTATGTAGGCTGTATTCAAAATGTGTTTGCTGAACAAGTGAATGTCCTAGAAAGAAAAGCTTTAAACAAGAGTGCTAAGTCAAGAGAAGAGTCTCTACCAAACCAGTCAAGTACTAAACTTTATTAGCACCATGGCTTACACAAATATTCTTTAATATTTGAAAGACAAGATTTAGATTATTTATTTGCAAAAGCAGTATCAAGTGTATTCCCTCCCCCCCGCCCGAGAATATGTGATCTCAGGAGCCCCAGAGCTTCTTGAAATTTCTACTAATAATCCAAGATTTAAAGTATGGTTACCAAGCACCACTGGTTCTGCAGACACAGGAACCAAAAGTAATTTTATTTATTTGACAGCAAGATTATACCAGGAAGCCATTCGTGGCCTTGTTGTTCTTTCTAACCCCAGGCATTTAGTAGGAAGTAGGAAGGAAGAGGACAGAATATTCATCTCTCTAGGGGACATCAAGTATGAGACATAAGTATGTGCACTCACCCATCAGACACTGCTATTAGATCATGACATTTATCCTCATAGAGTAAGAATGTCATTTCTAAATTCTTCTCAAGACACTGGTCCAGAGAGCTACTGTCAATGGATTGAGGTTGAATGTAAAAGATAAAATCAGTTTGTTACCCTGGAAGCACAGAAGGTCTTCATTCATATCTAAAAAACTGTCAAATACGCTTCAATTATTTTATTGGGGCAAGGAAGTAAACGTTACTATAAAACAAACTTATTTATTTCAGAGCTAATTTTTTATGAATTTAATGTTCCCTTACTCCCCCTCCAAAAACTCCTTCCCACTGATCAGACATGCAAACCATGTCAATTCATTGAAAGTATTTTAATTTATGCAGAATTCATGAAAAAAGTAAAGGGATGTCTGGTAACTTCTAGAATTGAATGCAAAGCCATTGCAAAGAAGGTCTAGCAGAGTTAAAGGAATTAACAACCAAAGGAAGAGATATTTAACAGAGGACATGACAGCATAAGAATCGCAAAAGAAAACTATTTTTATGTCAAGAAAATTTGGAGAGAACAGTGAAGTCAAATATTTTTACTAAGAATGATAATCTTTGTGGTTGGTAAAAGTAAAATGTAAAGTGAGTGGTATTATATCATGCCATTAAACAATTTTGTCAAAAATATTATGCAAGAAAACAACCTTATTTATTCCTTATTGATTCTTAGAATTAGTGTCCTTGTATATGTTTGTTAAATTTTTTAATAATTTCAGTGTATTTTTATTACTCATTGTTAAATTTGTTCTCTATTTTAAATTGATTCCACATGTGGCTTCTTCCTTAGTACTATTTATTCTCTGATAATCAGGGTCTTCTGTACTCTTCACTAACTTGAAACATCCTTCCCCAAACATCCTGATAAGTGTTCATTAAAGTAGTGTGGTTTCAGTATGTGGACATAATTATTGTGGGCTCTGACTATCCTCTCCCTTCCATTTAGCTATCAATGGCTATATGTATGGCAACCAGCCAGGCCTAAGTATGTGCAAAAAGGACAGAGTTTCCTGGCATTTGATTGGAATGGGCACTGACACTGACATGCATGGAGTTTATTTTCAAGGCAACACTATCCACCTACGAGGGACTCATCGCGATTCCCTGACCCTGTTTCCCCATGTGTCCACAACGGTATTCATGCAGCCAGACCATGCAGGTAAATTTGGCAGGTCCATCTCAGGTGACCAGATTCCTACTCAGTCTCAGAGCTTCCTCCCCCAGAAGCAATTGTAGATGTTAGGCACTTTGAAAGGTATAGAAATAATTTTTATTCAAGTCAGAGAATACTGGCTATTTTAATCTGAACACATAGTATAAAGGACAGAGGCATCTACAAAGCAGAAGTGAGTGTCTTCTAAATGACTTTGCCACACAGATCCCTAGTGAATGCTCCTAATTCATATGTGTGAAAATTCATCCCTCAGCATATTTTGCTTTCATGAAGCACGAACATCATTCTAGCTGCTGCCCTGAAGCACCTCCAGGCTTGGATAGCCCAGTAGATGACTTTAGTTTCTGTAGGTATAAATGTAGTCATAACTTTAGCTTGGTATCCCATCCCTAGGGACTTTTAGTGGCCTTTGTATGAGTTATTTGGGGACCTTTCTATTTTTATTCATTTGGACACTCTTGGTTTTCTGAGAGGGAAAGCTGCATTGTGTCTGTAGTCCAGGGAGGTCCCTGTGAAATGCCAATGTGAAATGAAAACTTCTTCCTTTAAAGATTTCAAACTATTTAGATAACTGGAACATTTTTACTAAAAATGTAGAGCAACACATGGGAGCATATGCTAGCTGCCACATTAAAAGTGAGGACAGCAAGTACTCTGGGCATTCGATATGTTTTTTCAATCCAACTTTTTCATCAGTCTTAACAAGAAACAAATATGCTACCCGAAACGAGAAACTGCTGACTCTCTCATTTATTAATGGACCTCTTACTTCTTTACTGGAACTGCAGTTTAGATGCCTATGTGTCATCAATTAATAACCTGAGGCTTGAGTTTCAAAACCTTTGCCCAAGGACTGCAGACACTAGGAGTGCTACAATCTTTTTTTCAGGGAGTAGGGGAGTGGAGTGGGTGGGTCCTGGGAATTGAACTCAGGGGCACTCAATCACTGAGCCACATCCCCAGCTATATTTTGTATTTTATTTAGAGACAAGGTCTCACTGAGTTGCTTAGCACCTTACTGTTGCTGAGGCTGGCTTTGAACACACAATCCTCCTGCCTCAGCCTCCTGAGCTGCCGGGATTATAGGTGTGCACTATAGTACCTGGCGAGTGCTACAATCTTTGCCTTGTAAACTTGTAAATTTCCTGTAGTGTTCAACCTCTCTACATTACTATAGGTGATCAATTATGAGTCACCCAATCCAAACCAAACCAAAGGATGCCTTGAACAACACAATGTTTTTGGTTTTTTGTTTCTTTTTTCTTTCTTTCTTTCTTTTTTTTTTTTTTTTTTTTGGTACCAGGGATTGAACTCAGGGGCACTTGACCATTGAGCCAATTACTCATATGCCCCACAGGCTTCTAAAAAGCTTCATAACAATGTTTTCTGGTTTAGTTTGGTATTAAACATAAATCTGTAACTACCTAAAAGCTCAGTCATTTCACTAATTCCTTTTCCTCATCTGTAAATTGGGAAGAGTGCTCAAAGAGTGGGTAGAGCAGACAGTAGCCTGCAACTCAAATGCTTTCTCTTTGCTCTTAGAGAAGATAATACCTTGACTACAGAAGAACCACGAGGAACACATACCTCATGGGCTGCTTAGGAAAAGCACATGCAGAGGGAGGTCTTTCCAAGTTTGCCTTCAGAGGTGTCTTCTCTGTGTTTTTGCAAAGACCCTTCTTTATGAGGATCCTGTGCAATGGGGTGTCTGAATACCCTTTGAAACAACTGTTGTTGCTTATCTAGAAGGGATAATAATATAGCAATATTTGGAGTTACATGTATAGCAAGATTGAAGCTCTCTTTGTGTTTTAAAGATGGTTAAGGATAGGAATTCTAATCACCACTAAGAGCAGTACATTAAAGAAAGGGAAGATCTATTGATCCAATAATTTCTTTGGGAATTAATAACTTCAATAATTTTGTTCCCAATATATTATGGTGAGTTCAGTTAGGATATATCTATCTGATACCAATGCCTAAAAATCTCAGCTTAAAAAAAATTACTTACCTTCACTCAGACATAATTGCTGATTTTATTTATTTTTAAAACCTTTCTTTAATGTACTAATATAATTGTGTGTGTGTAATTTAATAATATATATATATATATATATATATATATATATTTATATATTTAGTTAGCAATGGAGCTTTATTTTCTTTTATTTACATGCAAAGCTGAGAATTGAACCCAGTGCCTTACACATGCTAGGCAAGCACTCTACCACTGAGCTATGACCCCAGACCATAATTGTTGATTTTTAAATAGAAAATGTAGTTGATTTTTTCCTTTTCATCCAGAAAAATGTAAATCCTACCATTGGACATGAGAACCTCCTTTGCTCAAGATCTTAATGAAGTAACACTTTTGGCTTTAATAATAATAATACCTTACAGTTTTATTGTGCTTTATAATTTGTGAAATCCTTGAGGGCAAAATCCATGACTTCAGAAATGTGGCCTAATTTGAGCTTTGTCAGGGATATTCATCTTATGGTAATTAGTTCTTTATAAACTGGGCTGGACTAAGTTAGTCAGTCACACCTGTCAGTGATTTTCCAGGAATGGCTGATTTCTTGGTAACACTGTGGGTTTTATTTTTACATTAAAATTAATTTCAGATGTATTTTTCCTCCATAAATAAATACCATCAAAGCATTTGAGTCTGGTTTTAAAGTATTTAGAGCTGATACTTTAAAAGTCCACCTTACTTCTTGGTGGTGCAAACTAGTAATCCCAGTGGCTGAGGCAGGAACATCTCGAGTTCAAAGCCAGCCTCAGCAATTTAGCGAGGCCCTAAGCAACT